ACTTCAAAATAGTCAATATATTTGCTACACTCCTCCTCCTCTCATATACCAAACTGATCCAGACACTTGTCAATATATTCAATCGCTCTAGCATTGAATGTGATGGAGAGGCTAAAACTGTATTATACTATGATGGAACTCTGGACTATGCTAAAGGGAGCCACCTACCAATGTTCTTGTTTGGTTTTGGCTTTTTGTGTGTCGTAATTGTACCGTACACACTTTTCCTCTTTGCCTTGCCACTTGTGGAAAAAGGAGTTGCCCATTTACTTGAAAAATGTCAAGGCTTTGGTCGTCTGTGGCTCAAGATAAAACCACTCACAGATGCATATGCGAGCCCATTTAAAAACAACTGTCGGTTTTGGGTTGGATTTCTCATTGTAATCCGCCTCGTTGTATCTTTAGTGTTTGCCAGCCAAACTGATGAGACGTACATCATTTATATTGTGTTCACAATCATACTATTCACACTCATGTTTTCTGTCTCACTAGAGGGCCCTTATACCAATCGCTATCTAAACAAACTGGAGCACTGGTTCTTGGTTAATCTACTAGGCATCATTGCCTATTCTAGACATCCTAGAATTGGAGTCGGCATATTCCATTCTCTCGTTTTTGCTACTTTTATTCTCATTGTTACTTGGCATTGCTTTGCCCGCTGGAATGGGGATTTCGACCTAAATCCTCAAAGCATTATCAAGTCACTTAAAAAGAGTACAAAAAGGACTCGTGGCTTTAGAAATGCTACCAGTGAAGCCACAGACTCTAAATTAGAAATGGAAACATCATCAAGTGATCGTACTACAACAAAGAGCACTGACGTGTCAACCAAGGGCACTACAACCAATAGCAGCAGCACAGTAATGTCATCTGTTGTTAGTGTAGCAGCTGATGGCAGTAAATTTAATGCTGTTGGCGCATCAAGATTGAAGCTTGCTCCTGCTAATGCAGGATATCGGGAATCTGTGCTTGATCTTGATCCGCCAGAATATTAACAATAATTATTAGACTTATTTTTATTAGTTATAGTCCCAGTGTGATGTTTGTTATTATATCTAGCTATAGTAAACTCTGTACTCTTACTTCCTTGTCTATGTAGTTTTAAAATAAAACTGATAAACATTGAAGCATAACTCGCATAAGTGAAGCTTTGAAAATGCTCATAGCACAGAGCACAGAGTATTGATACAGTAACTTGACTATATAAGGCAATTATAGATAGTAGTCTATAATAACCTATCAATCATAACAGCTGAGGTCACTTTGTGCCAATATGGAGTCAAGGAGTATAGTCTTCCTTTTATGTCTTTGTAGTATCAGTGGAGCTCTTGCTAAAACATGGATTGTGTCTCCTACTGAGAATTGCAGTAGAGCAAACTGCCATAACCTCTCTTATTATACAGGTGATCCTTCTCTTTATTTCTCTACTGATACAACCCTGATATTCCTTGAGGGAGTCCATTACTTGTATGAGCCAGTTACTATCAGTGGAGTATCTAATCTCACACTACAAGGAGAGGGGATCCTACAAGATGGCAGTCATTGGACTGTAAGAGAGTCAACTGTCGTAATACACTGCCTCAACTCTGAGGCTGGTCTATTTTTTGTCAATTGGACTGGAATTACTATTAACAGTATAACATTTGAATCCTGTGGGGCTAAAATCATTAATGAATCTCAACTGGGATCAGATATCAATACACACTACTCATCAGTTCCTTATGGTTGGGAGTTTGGTGTTGGATTACAAGCATACCACACTTTACTGTTTGTCAATGGATCAGATCTCACATTAGAATCAGTCACTGTTCAAAACGGAACAGGATATGGACTAACGATAGTAAACTCTTATGATATCACTATCAACAGATCATATTTCTATAAAAACAACTATCGGTATCTCTGCAATGAAAGCTATGATCAAGCCGGTGGTAACATTCGTATAACTCATCTTCCTCTTCTCTCATCCTCAAGATGTCCTCGAGTTAAAGAGATTGAAAGTGTGATACTCATTAGAGACACACGTGTGTCTTTCGGAGTCAATCAAAGAATATGTGACCCTTATTTTATGGCATCAAGTGAGAATTTAACAACTTATGCTCGATATACCTTGCCAGTTGGCGGTGGAATAGGACTAGTTGCAGCTGATTACAGTTGCAATAAGTTTAGATACAAATTGGAGAATATCGTAGCCTACAAGAATTATGCATATTACTCAGGGTCTAATTTTGCATTGATTTTTTATCCAGTCCCAATCAGTATATCAGGAATGCTAAGCACAAGAGGTTTCACAGCTTCTGATTGCCCAGTACAAGACCCATCATCAATAATGTCTAAAGGTAGCGGAATGATTTTTAGCGTTTTTGATTCACTTGAAAGTGGCATTAACTCAGAATTAAACATTACCGGCCTCGTCTCTAGCAATAATATAGCATTAATAGGCTCTGGCCTGTATATTTCAACCCACACAAAACGATCATGGAGCTCTATCAACATCAAATCTTCTAACTTTACTAGAAATAATGTTCGTTACATAGGAGCAAGTGCTGTTTACATTGAAAGGAGAGATATTGCTGAAATTTCGTCTTCACTGATAGTATCACTTACTGATGTGTCAATAAATGAAACTGTCAACAGTTTGCCTAATTATGAAAACCCTTATAATGGAGCACTGAGTCTCAGTAATATTGACTGTGTCATTAATGGGCTAGTCATTGCTAATAGTGCCAACATCAGAGGGCTATCACTTGCTTCATCTCGTGTTTTTGTTCAAGGAGATAACTTAATCCACAATAACACAGCTCTCTTTGGTTCAGGTGGAGGTGTTTACATGGATCCTTATTCCTACTTCATATTTCAACCTCCGGCAAACTTGACATTTTCTAGAAATTATGCTGATCAATATGGTGGTGGCATTTACATAAGCCCAAGAGCCAATAGGGTCTTTAGTCCACCTTGTTTCTTTCAAATTGATTCACTACTCCCCTTGCCTGAAGTTAGGCTGATTGCTGATGGTAACACTGCTAACATTACTGGGACATTCATTTCTGGTGGTGAGCTGGTATATTGCTTCTTCGTGACAAACTTTTACTATTCTTACTGTCGTAACAGTCCACAATTATCCTGTTCATACAATGTAATGCAAAATTTCATTGTTCCCAACACGAGCACACAAGACAGATTCTTCATTTCATCGGTTCCAGTAGCTGTTCTGTTATGTAATGACAGCGATAACATTATTCTCTATGTTAGAAATAAAGCAGTTTCTGTAATGCCAGGACAATCATTTGCATTAAAACTGGTAGTCCTGAGTGAGACATACGGCATAGCTCCAGGGAAAATTCACAGTAGTGCCAATGGAGTGACTACCACTAATTCAATAAAAGCCAACTGCACTGAGATCTCTTTTACATACTATAAGCCAATTGGTGTCAGGAATATACACATATCGTTAACCACTGATCAATCAGTCGCTTATATACACCAAAGCACAACACCATTATGCGTGAATTTAACTTATGCAGACTGCCCACCATTTTTTCAGTTGGTCAGCAATAGTGCTAATTCAAGCATTTGTGGTTGCAATAGATACATTTCTAACGCTACCGAAAGTGCAGTCTGCAATATCAACACAACTATGATCACTACTACCTATAATGAAGTGACTAATTGGATAGGATATGATAATAACAGTAGCTGCACATTTGTAGGTCAGTGTCCATTTGGTTACTGTAAGGATGAAGAGGTGACCTTTACTGTCAATGATGTTGATAAACAGTGTGCTCTTGATAGATCAGGTGTATTGTGTGGAGGATGTGCTGAGGGTTTCTCTATAAAGCTTGGTTCTAATGAATGTGGTCAATGTTCCAATGGTTACTTGTCTCTGTTACTAGTGTTTGGTATAGCTGGTATAGTATTGGTTATATTTCTCATTTTACTCAATCTCACTGTTACCATTGGTACCATAAATGGACTCATCTTCTATGCTAACATTGCTAAAATTGTTGAGCCAATACTGTTTCAGACTGACTCAATTTTAGTTCTGAGCCAGTTCATTTCTTGGATCAATCTTGACTTTGGGGTTAAGGTGTGTTTCTATGATGGAATGACGCCCAGTCAAAAGATATGGTGGCAGTTTGCATTCCCTATCTATATATGGATCATTATTGGTATTATTACAATAGCTGTTAAAAAGATGACGAATCATCGCTTCTTTGAGCCAGTTACAAGATATTTCATACACTTCAAAATAGTCAATGTATTTGCTACACTCCTCC